AAGGAAACGGCACCAGGACAGCATGTACATGTCTCCATGTCAGCAGTCAGAGGCCAGATGGAGGCGGCCAGGCAGGCAAGAGGGGCAGGCAGCGCTGACCGGCTGCTGGCTTTGCGGCCCGGCCTGGGGAACTTCCAGAAGGCTCCTTCCCATGTGCTGTGTGTGGTCGGCCTGAGCAATCCCCCACGATGGAGATTTGCAGCGTGGGGGTCCTCCTGGCGGCAACTGTGCCCCGGCCTGCCCAGACTCTGGGGGTGGGGACTGGGAAATGCGCTCCTCAGGGTCACATAGGAAAGATAAGTGTTTGGAGTGTGACTCAAGGCACGAGTGCACAGGCCTCCATCCCTCCTGAGACTCCACACCTGGCGGCCAGCAGCGGCCCCGGGGCGGCACTGAGGGCCCGTCTGCCAGGCTCAGGTCCAGGAAGACGGACCGCAGTGAGGTTGCTCTGGAGCAACTGAGGTATGACGTGATGGTGCCCAGAGCCGCTTCGCGTGGGGGTGTTTAGACAGACGAGGAGGCACAGGGAGCAGCTTCCCGGGGGACGAATCCAGGGGGTACACACCCGGCAGGGAGGGACGAGGCTGTCTCCCTGGGGGTTCCACCGGCTGTGGGATCAGAGGGAGCACCCGGTTGTCGCCCTTGTGAGAGGGGCATGAGGAGCCTGCCTGCGCCGGGTCCCCAGTGACTGACATGGAGGACTGGAGGCCAGCGAGGTGTCCGGACCGACTTGGTGACATGGAGGGGGCAGAACCAGGACGGGGACTTGGCACCTGTGGAACCTGTGTTCCCTGCCACTGTGGCCTTAGTTTTCTTATCTGTATAATGGGCTTGCCCACTCCCTCTGGGTCTCAAGGCCTTGTGGGAACACTATCCATCTAACCCTGCATCCCAGAGGGCACACTCTCCCACTCCCAGCAGATGTCACGTTGGTCACAGACCGTCACCCTGTGGCCAGGTCCTGGGCCCAGCTGAGCCCAGTGTGACCCAAAAGGAGTTGACAGGCTGCAAACCTGCTGCTTTCTGCACACTGCACCTCCCTGAAAACCTGTCCCTCAACACAAATGGAGGGGAGGCCTTGGGGAAGCCTAAGCCTAATTAGAGCCATGCCCCCACCTCCCCCTCCCCCTCTTCTGCCTTCAAGGCTGCCCTCTGCCTCCCCCTCCTCCCAGGGCACCTCGGTTGGAGTCTCAGGCGCCTGCGTTCTGGGGCCGCAGGCCGCAGGGGGCAGGCAGGAGCTCCAGGCACCAGCACCTTCGCTTCTGCCAGGCTGGGGCCCGCCCTGGGTGCTGGTGGTCTGCTCTCCCTGGAAGCTCCTCACCTCCCAAGGCCACAGCAGCCCCTGACTCTCGTGCAAGCTCCTGTCCTCCAAAGCAGGCCCTCCACGTCCCCACGCTGCAGGGGACTGGGGCACCTGGTGACACCAGGCCTCACAAAGGGCCTCAGGATGACTGCACTGTGAGGGAGCTTCACCTGTTGTTTTGTGGAATGAGATATTCCAGGTCATCGCGGGAAGGATCCGTACGGGATGCGTTTCCACGTGAACCAAGGATTGTCCTGCCCCGGGAGGCACCCAGGATGCTCTAAACAGAGGTGCCAGGGACGGGGCTGGGAGGGTCCTGCATCATGAGGTGGGAGGGCAGGGAAGGCCTGTGAGGGGAACTTGACCCCAGAGCACACAGTGTCGGGGTCACGCCTCCAGTCCTGTCCCCGAACACATGATGGCCAACAATGCATTTGCATTGCAACCTCCCCTTTAGTGAATAATGAGAGTTAAAGTTCTCTAATAGTGACGAAGCGACTCGCCATCGCCGCCTCTTGGGCGGTGGCGGTGACCTGCCCGCCGAAGGGCAGAGCTGGTGAGGCGCCACCAGGGGGCGCACTGCGCAAGCGCCTGTCGCGTTCCGGGAGCGGCGGGGGGGGGGAGAAGTGCCCGTCGCGCTGCGACCCCGCTGTGACCGGCGTCCCCGGGGTCCTTCACGCCCCACCCTCAATTACAAATGGGGCCGAGGATAGATCCCAGCTTGTGGGTCGTTCTGGAATTAAGGACTTAAAAACCGGCTTCCGGGGCCTGGTGCGGAGCAGACGCCCGCGCTCTGCTGCTGCGGGACAGCGCGCCGCTTCCACGCCGCGGTGGCCCTTGCTGCGCCCCGGGCCCTGGGGCGCCGACCCCCCGCGGGTCGCTTCTCCAAGTGACCAGTTCGCTTCTGCGGAGCGACGTGTAGATGAGCGGAGATGCCTGGTCGGCCGCGGGCTGTCCGCCGCCCTGGGACGGAAGCTCCTGGAGGTGGGAGGCTCATAGTAGGTGTTCAGCAAACAGTCAGGGTCGGGGCTCAGCAATAAGCATTCAGGGCTGCGCTGGGGAAGGAGCCTGTGACGTGAAACCTTGTAAACAGAGGCGGGTGCAGGGTGACGCCAGACTTGTGAACATCTGGCTGCCCATCTGTCTCCATGCTGGGCTCTCTCTAGAGACAGAGGGCACCCTTGCTTGAGAGACAGACACTGAGGGTCTGCAAGTAACGAGAAGAAAAGCTAAATGCTTTCTGTTAACTCCCACGTTGCCCACAAGGAGGATGCGTGTTGGATCTGGGGGTGACACTGTGGGCTGGGGAATGCGGGGGGCGTGGGGCGCAGGAAGGGCCTGTGCAGCTAGTGTGGCCCCATCAGAGGTGTGGGGGCGGATGCGGCCCGGAGCTGTCCCCCCCCCCCCCAGGTCTGTAAGCCTCTCTCGCTTACAGGGGTCTGAGTAGGTGGGCGCCGGTGGCCAAGGGAGGAACCAGGTCAGGCCTGCGGCCAGGGATGACAGGGGCCACCGCCTGGGGCCACTGGTCAAGCCTGTTTGTGGCAGAAAATGCCACCAAGTGAGCCTGCATCAGGCCCCCCCGCCCCCCGGGCAGGCTGAGGCGGGGCACCTGGGGACCCGGAGGCCCAGGGGGCCTCTGAGCAGGGGGAGGCCAGGAGAGGCTTCGCAGGCAGCTCAGAAGACTTGTTCATTCACCCCGTGTTTCCAGGGCCATCTCATTGTGCACACAGGGGGCGTCCTGTCCCGCCCTCACCAACGGCCGGGCCTCCCAGAGTGGGGACAGGGTGGATGCAGCTCCCCGCTGCCCGCAGATGGCGGCCCAGGGCGCAGCCGGGAGACTGTGGCCTCCCCCCTGCCATCCAGCACACCGTGTCGCCCTCAGTGAAAGGCCCCTACTGCTGCGGACAGATCCGCTCAACGGTCTGCTCTCTCTCAGGGTCCAGGCCCGCCTCACCCCTCCCACCCCCGTGACTGGCGCACTTCTCTGCAGGGACCTGAGGCTCTTACCCCACGGGCCACACCTCCTCCGTGGAAGCCTCTGTGGGGGCAGGGGTGCGGCTGGGCCAGCTGGCGTGCTTGGAGCTCTGTTCCCTCCTATGAGGGCCACCCCTGGCCTCAGCTCAGGGCCTTTCTGTGGGAGCAGGACGCCGGAGCCAAAACCACCACACCTGCAAGCCATGCCCCTGGGGTCCCCCCAGGCCTGCCCTGGACTGGCCCCCCTCAGATACCCACCCCCAGATGATGTGGAACAGAAGTACCTCCAACTATGGGGTTCAAAGGCCCCATGAAAAGTTAAACGTGCATCTGATTTAGGAGAATTTATAGCCTAAAACAGGGAAAGGCCACAACCAAGCACAGGTGGGGTGTCCCTGGTCTCCAGGCCCCGAGAGGCCAGCAGCCACATGCAATGACAAGGGACAGACAACAGACAGATAGCGGGGTACACGGCCAGGGGCCCCCAGGGCCTGTGGTCGAGAACTTCTGTGGTGGGTGCTGCTCTGTCGCATGGCCCTGGCGCTGAGGCCTGCTCCTCCCATCCTGGCCAATGGGCAGACCAGCTGTCTCTCCAGAAGCTTCCTAGGTACCCTTCTAGCTGCTGGCAGCAGTGAGGGCTGGGCAGGGACAGGGGCCATCTGTTTGGGGGCTAGGGCACGGAGTACTTGTTCCACATATTGTCCAGTGGCAGGGGCCCCAGTCTCCGAGGTGTGTGAGGTCCTCTGTGTATCGCACATCTGAACACCTGGCACATCAGGACCACTCAGCAGGGCAGCCTTTCTGTGACCCGGTCAGGTGACAGCCCTGCATGCCTGGCCAGGGAAACGGTTTCCGTGACCAGATCTCAGCTGCCCCTGAGCCTCCCTGTCGGTGGAGATGCGGCCGAAGGATGAGGCCCCAACCCACCTGCGCCCACAGCAGGCATTTGAGGCTCTCGCCATATGACTCCTCTGACCCCTGGGCCCAGATGTTCCCCCCCTCAGAGAGGCTGCTTGTCACTGGCACACGCCCTCCTGCACGCTCATGGTTGTGTTATGTGCGTGTGTGTGCACATGGGTATGACTGCCCACGTGGGTACTATGCATGCCCGTGTAAATGTGCACACATGTGTCTGCACATGTGCATGCATGGTGTGTATATGTGTGTGTACATGCCCAATGTGCACTTGTGTGTGTACATGTGTGTGTGAGTGTGCATGCGTGTGAGTGAGCAAGCGCATGTGCAGGGTTCTCAGTCGTGGGTCGACCACATGAAATTGAAATTCTTTGCCCACATGGCCTGTGGCAGTTTGCTGAGACCTGGGTGACTGAGCGTGGGAACGCAAGCCCCTTGTCCAGCCTCCCTCTGCGCCCGCCCTCCCCTCCCCCTGTAAACACCTTCTCCTGGAGCCGGAGCCACGGTGAGGCATCAGGGCCCTAGTCAGGCTTCTGGCTGCAGAGATGGTCTCCCTCTGGCAAAGCTCACCTCCAGGCCCTCAGGGAATGCCTACCCCACCTCGGGCCCCTCATGTTGGGGCTTGGACCCCTCAGATGCATCTGGAGCCAAGTCTAGGGCTGCATGGTCATGGCCACCGTCATGTACATGTGACCTGGGAGGGGGTCAGCCATCTGTCACTGAGCTCACCCCCCCAGTTACATTTCAGGGAACGAGATGCATGGAAGGAAGACACAGGGATCCCCCAGCAGGTGCCAGAGAGAGAGAACCCCTTCCGTTCACGCTTTATTGTGTCTTGTTAAAAGATGGTGTCATTGCTCACCCAGCAGGTCAGTGGCTCACACCTGGGTGGTCATCAGCACCCTGAAATGGTTCAAGTGATGTTTCTTAGAGCTTCTCGTTGGCGCCCCCGTCCTTCCCTCCCAGGTCTTTGCAGGACCGAGGAGGTCGAGAGATCAGGGGAGCAGCCCAGTCCCCTCTCTTCTGCTTCCTGTCCCCTCTGGATGCCCCCTCGGCCGCCAGCCCCATCCTGGTGAGAACTACCTTGTCCAGGGCTGTTACACACTGTCCTTGGCCTTCCTTCTGGTGGGGTAGGGGATGCAGCACACCCAGCTGGTCCTGGTCCTAGGGGCCGAGCGGGGAGAGACAGGCACCCCCACCAAGCTCAGAGCCCGGGGCCGCAGGCAGCGCCCCTGCGCCCAGTTGCATGTCCCCCCATCAAGTCCAGGGGGCCCAGGGTTTCCCAGGGCCCGGCACACACAGCCAGACTCCTGGCCAGAACTGGGCTTGCCACCAGCTGCCTCCAGCCCACCCGGTGCCTTTGTCCTCTGCGCTGGGAGGCCTGAGCCAGAAGGGGCCCCTTGAATGTGAAAGACCTCAAAGACCAGCCGAGCCAAAGCCCTCTCTCTCGGCCCCAAAGCCAGGCTATGTCCAGGAGTTGCCACGCCTACCCCTGCCCATTCACTGTGGGGTGGTCTCTGGGTCTCCTCTTCCAACCGAGGCTGCCTCTGGGACGAGTCAGCCGCACCCCTTCCCTTTGCAGAGACCCCAGTTCGGGGCCAAAGCGTCCCAGCGGGCAGCAAGCAGCGGCTCACCCGCGGGTGCCCACCCCCCCGCCTCCCTGCCCCCCCCCCCCACACCTGAACAGGCCCGAGGGAGCCTGGGCGGAGAAGCCGCAGCTCTGAGAACAGAGATGGCAGGTGGACAGGGCAGTGGGACACACGGGTGGTCTCGACACCGCCCGGCAGGGCGTGAGGGTGAGGCCCACGTGGAGGGCCCCCCACAGACCCCCCTGCCACCCGCCAGCGGTCCCCCTCCCCCCACACCCAAGGCTTGGTTCTTATGTGCTGGCCCTGGCTGGCTGGGGCAGCTGAGTCAGCCGGTGGGGAGCTGAGACGCGAGGCGGACTTGGGATTGTCCGGCCTGGGGGCGGGGGGAGGGCAGCAAGTAAAGCCACCGCGCTGCACCCAGTGCGGCTGAATCTGTCGCCAAGTCCTTTAAGTAACTACGAGGAACACAACGGCCTGCTTTGAGAGACTCTTCTCTTTCCAGCCTAGATTTGGAAGTGTGACAGGGCCACCCTGACAGCAAACGCGGGGACCTCCACGTGAGTGGAGCCGGGCAGGGACCTGGGGCCGTCTGACCCTTCCTCACAGAACACACACGGCAGGGGGAAAGGTCATGTAAAAACGACTCCCCGAGTGAGCAAAGGCTTCGGGGCTATGCACGCTCAAAGCTGTTGACGCTGAGGAGGGCGCCGGTGCAGGGGTGCTGCCCTCCCTGCTCCCAGGGGGGGCCCGCGTGCCCTGTGCTGCCCTCCCTGCCCCTGCTCCCGGGGGGGGGGGCCCGCGTGCCCTGTGCTGCCCTCCCTGCCCCTGCTCCCGGGGGGGTCTGGGGGCCTCAGAGCCTGTCCTTTAGCAGAGCTGTTCTTCACGGGGCCAGTTGCTTAGAAGGACCGAGTACCAGTTTTACAACAGAATTTGCTTTGTATCTAAATATCTGTATCAGAGATTTTTTAAAAAAAATGTTTGAGCAAATAAGCCAAGATATATAGGTGTTAATTCCAAGAAGTGGGAAGTTGGATAAGTTGCTATTTTCTCCTTAGTGTTTCTCTGTATTGTTTAAAATAAAATAGGGGCACCTGGGGGCTCAGTTGGCTGAACGTCTGTCTATTGATTTTGGGTCAGGCCATGATCTCACTGTTCGTGGGTTCCAGCCCCACGTCGGGCTCTGTGCTGACAGGGCAGAGCTTGCTTGGGATTCTCCATCCCTCCCTCTCTCTGCCCTTCCCCTCTGCCCTCAACAATAAACATTAAAACATTTTTTAAATAAAAAAATAATAGATCCATGGGCCCTTGGGTGAGAGAGCAGCCGACCCAGCACCCGTTACGGCCTCAGGACCTCATGGGGGTTGGCTGGCCCCACCCGTCTCTACCCTAAGAGGGTGTCGGTGGTCAAGACAAATGTGCCTTGAACCCCAGCCCTGGGGTTTGGCCTGCTTTGCGGGGACGCAGCCAGGTGTTGGGTCCTGCCTCCCAGCTACTCCTGCAGCCAAAGCCCCAAATGAGGAGCTGGAAGGACCCACCCAGCAGCACTTCCCGCTCACCTCCGCTTACCCCCACTTCTCCCACCTCACAGTCCGGCCAAGCTGTTGGCTGATGGGATGGGGAGAGTGAGTCTGGCTGTGGGGTGAGGGGGCACAGGGTAAGGGTCATCCCTGAGTCCCACTGCTCACCTCTGCTTGGGGCTCTACGCACACAGGAGAGGGGAAAGGTGGCAGCGGGCTCTGCCCAGACTGATGGAGGTTTGGTGGGCCTGCCAGACACCGTGGTGGAGGGGAACCCCCCTTCCCCATGTGCAGACCCATAAGCATCACTCACTCGTCTTCTGATAAATCCCCCGTGTCCATCTGAGACCGCTTCTCTTCTCTCATGGTGCCTGTGACCACCTGTGGGAAGTGGCATCAGCAGTTTAGGGGACACGGGGAGGGAGTCACCACAGCCACCGGGGCCAGAGCTGCTGGGCCTGTCCGAGGGTCACATGGAGGCCTGGGGCCTCGCGGGCACTGAGCATCTTCCCGTGAGTTTGGGCACCGTGAGGTCAAAATTGCCAGTTAGGGGACCCTGACCAAGGAACTGTGCCCTGGATGTGGACCACTGTGACTTCTGGACTGCAATCCCAACCCTGCCACTGGATGACTTTCCTTGAGTCTTTAAAACCTGCGGTGCCCCCAAGACACCTTGTGGGTAGTTACTAACCAGCATTCTTCACTGTGCTGTGTGTTCGGAGGGAAAGGGATGGAAGATGCAATAAAAAAAAACCAATCCCCAGATAGGAGTTTAATATGAAAGAGCTTCAAAAATCTTCCCAAGGCAGCTGCCTGCTACAGCTGGGGAACGGGGTCATCCCAGGACAGTTTTGTTGGCTGGGTCCAGACAAGCCGTCCGTCAACCCCTTCATCTTACAGAAAATGATACATAACAATGGGGATGATGGTGGTGGTGGAGGTGATGGGTGGTGGTGGAGGTGGTGATGGTGGCGGTGGTGGAGGTGGTGATGGGCGGTGGTGGAGGTGGTGATGGGCGGTGGTGGTGGTGGTGATGGTGGTGGTGGTGGAGGTGGTGATGGGCGGTGGCGGAGGTGGTGATGGGCGGTGGTGGAGGTGGTGATGGGCGGTGGTGGTGGTGGTGGTGGGCGGTGGTGGTGGAGG